CTAGCAATGGAATCCAGGACTCGCGCTTCATCTTATATGGGACTCGTCATCTGGATGTATCTGGATCCGAGAATTTGTGTTCACTCCGGGACTCAAACGTAGTACCGTTCACTTCAAACTTCGTCACTCTATTCACTTAGATATTGAGTCTTGATAACCATGCGCGTCCTGGCTTCCACTACTAGCCACCATCTATCTTTCGTCAAGTAGTTTATCTATAAAATAAAATTCAAATTACAATGTTATTAAGATGATGAAATATTTAACTGGTGTTCCCTCACCGAACCGTATTAGAATGTAGTTCAAACGATTAGACAGTTGGATTATTTCATTTGTTTTTAAATTGAATTATACACTTATATTTTGTAATTAAAACAATGTTATGATTAAAATGAGTGTATAGCTTCTGACATGGTACTGGTCAACTATATCACCAAACTAGATTAATTAGAGTTGAAAAGTAGCTGGTAACAAGGATATTTGTTATTTTGTATACTTACTTGTTCGCAGTCATTTTGAAATAAAATAGAAAACCCAAAGTTAATATTCTCTCGGAAAGAAGTTATAAATAGTTAAATATCTGTTATTACAGATTTATCGGCTGTTGAAAAAAATTGGAAACTTGAGTCAATCAACATTCTAGAAAATGTAACTAACCATACTGTCGTTTGCATTTAGACTAAATGGATGGTATCATTTTCGTCGATAACAAGGATCAATATCATTTCTGAATGTCGCGTAAGCTGACGTAATTGAGACATTTACATAACATCTGGAAAGATTTAAGTAGATTTCAATAATTAATCAAAAACATTACCATTGAGCTAGCAGCGAAATCCGATTTCGAGCCTTCACGCGGCGCTGCTAGTTAGTAAGGGTAACGTTGCTAGCTGACTTTGGCGGTCGATGAGATCGGACCAAACCATCACTCTGCTTTGAACAGAATAAACTGTGTTCCGATTCCGGGGCCTACTAAAATCTTGAGGGCTGCTCGATACATACGGTTATGTATATGACTTGTATTGGTCTGGGCATGTGTAGTTTATGTATTCAGATGTATGCAATAAGTACATGTGTGGGTGAGCACAAGAAACACAGGCTGAAAAATGTCTGCCCTATGTCTGATAAAATCAGTGGCCTAATTCTTTTGGGTCGAAGACATATTAAGAGAATATGGTAGCAAATATTGAGGAGAGGTGACACACAAAAGTGTTTGTGCTTATGTGTATTTCATAAAGCGCTAGGGTGAAAGTCTGTATAACAGTAATATGCATTTAATGCATAGGTGGCGGTCAGCTTTAGCAATTATGTTCGAAGGGTAGGGTGACCATCTTTCTTATCTCATTGGCAAATATTCCTGAATATGTAGTGAACGAAAACTGAGGTGTAGGAACCAATATTTTGTTTAATATGAAATTACGTCGTACGTTCATAAAACATGAAAATCACATCTTCCATCTGTTATCTTCTACATACTTCATTATTGTTTCAATTCTGTTTAGACTTCAGTTTCTCTCTGTTTCCCTTTCCATTGTCTTCAATTCAGCCTTCTACTGACAGGCATTCAACTTCCGACTGGTGCTCCATATATTTCACCATAAGTAACTTACACCGCATATGTATACTTTAGGATGCATGAGTGTGTTATCGATGTGCATGTAACGTATACTTGCTCACAGGGTTAGTATACCTATGTGTATGCCAAGGAATGTATCGGTGAAAACTTATGTGCTATCTTTATGCATATAGATTAAACTTATCACTAGTGCGACACCCACGCTCAAATACCTGAGGAAACGATTCCTCCACGGAATTACATCCACGTGGTGGATTTCTGAGCCTTGCTGAACACAAACTATCTCTAGAAAAGTTGATCAGCTTCACTGTATAAGGAGTGATCAACTTTAAAACAGCCGGAACACTATACCATTTAGCTACATAGACCTAAGTATATTCCATTCCCGTTGAGGAGAACCGACGAAGATAAAATCTAAATCTATAATCCCCCGACCCATTATTTATATCCATCTAAAATTAAACAAAGCAGACTGTAATTTAAATTCATTTAGTTCGGTGGTTGATCTACTCAAATAAATAAATATAAGAAGTATTATTTGTTTTTATTAATTAATTCTTTAACTAAACCTTATCATTTATTATCACTGATCATACTGCAATATCTTCTAACAGTTTAGTTTATTATAATAATTTATAGATATATTGATAAAGTACTAGTATAGAGGTTGTGGAGATTATTAGGTTTTTGATTGAGATCATGAACCGATTGATGTTAGACCACCTTTGGAAACCTGGAAGCACTGGAAAGCCGTTTCGTCCTATTGTGGGACTTATCAGCAGTGCGCATCCACAATCCGGCTTGCGGGATTTGAACCCAGGGTCTTCGGTCTCGCGTGTGAACACTTAACCTACTGAACCACTGAGCCGGCATCTGATGGTGATAGTGTCTAACATCAACCAATCTACGAAATTGCGCGACCATATTCCATTGTACTGAGGTAGATACTTGTCTCTACCCGACACGGATTAGTTCCACTGGTCACGGCTTCTCACTAGAACTACGAGAATTTTCTCACGAAGCTAGTCACTATTGAGCACAGCAGTGCTCACTGCTGAGGAGTCCCATAATAGGACGAAACGGCCGTCCCTTGCTTCCAGATTTCCAAAGGTGGTCTAACATCAATCGGTTCATGATCAAAAATATTGACAAATTATTAGTTAAGTAGATCACTCTTTCTACTTACCTAACTAATAATAAGCTTAAAATACATATTATTAATAAAGTACATTAATGATTATTGTCTAAGGTGGTAAGTTTTGTGAAATCTTTAATGCATCCTTCAATAGTTTCTTTTTATTTCACTACTTGAATTATATGTTTATATAATGAAGTGAATTTCAATAGTAAATATGTATTACTATAAAATTTGTAATAAGCATATTTATTTATTTATTCATAATCATGTACTTGTTTTTTTGTTTTGAAGAACGTAAGTTTAATTAAGGACAAAATAAAACAAAGATGAATTCACAGTTATATGAATAAGGAATATTCTTTATATTGAACTTTCAACAGATTAATGTTCTAAATGAATGAACAATCTTAAAGTAAATACAACTTTTAAAACTACAAAGATTTAAGATTAATAATGTGGTGTGATAAAAAAATAGTGGATGTATACTTCTGAAGAAGTCACATACTAGGACGAAATGGTCATCCAATGCTTCCAGGTTCTTAATGGTGATCAATTCATGATTTCAATCATAAAATTTACTGTTGAAATGATTAATAAGCCATGTTAAGTTAAGTAAGCTTATACATTAGATTGTAAAATTTCGGTGAATAATAACCACAATCAATATGATTAATATAAGAAGTAAGAACGCAATTACAAATCAGATTAACTGATTGGTTAAAGATTATGTAATATACGAAATAAAGAGAATTCAGTGAGAAACAATACATTTATAATCATTAGAATAAATCTCGACTGTTATGAAAGACGAACAATTGTTCAGTTTTCGGATAGATAAATAAATTTTTCAGGAGCATTGGATAACCATTTTTCAAAGCTAGAATAGGACGTTACTACTGACGTTACTACAGTGACTCTGAAAGATATCAAGCATTAAATGATCAAACTTGGTTTTAAACCACAGAGTTGATACTTAGTGGTTTATCTTTCCATTTTAATACAAAACGGATATTTTGCCTTCTGTAACTCTCAAACGTTGCCCAACTAAACTATGTTCATGATATAAACTATCTTCGAATTCTATCTATCTAACATATCTCTATAATTCACACAATATAAAACCACTTATACAAGTGGCCATACTACAACTGAATCGATGGAATTTACCCAGCAGATAGGCTCAGACAAATGTAACGTTGTTTATTACTTAGTGAACACTCAATTAAGCATTAGAACCTCTTAATTTGAGATTGTACATCATCATTTCTCTAAAAGTTTAAATGCAGAATGTTTACGTTTAGCAGTGAACACAATAGCGATGATTAAGAATCTATGAGATTCATATTTTACAACTTTTGGTTCAAGAAATATAATCGAATATAGATTGATTGATTGATTGATTGATTATATTGAAAAATAATCAATAAATATATATTCTCCATATTGATTGAAATCTGAGAAACAATGCGCCATTATTATATACAACACAAAAAAAAAATAACACACAAATTACCATTATATCGTGAATTATATTTCTTTTAAAAATATTTTATCTTTCTATATACAAAACTACGTTAAGTGTATACAAGCAAATATACATAGTTGAATAGAAACTATTTGTTTACATCAATTATAACTCAACTAATTTGTTGTTTTACAAAAGGCTTATCACTGAATTTAATCACAGGAAAAAAACAAACACAGCTTGAATGAGAGACAAATAGAGAAAAAATAACCATGTGAATAATTTGAGAATAACACAAAACATGGTTTAGTTAATAAATACACTTTCATGCAAACCTAATTGAGAAATTATATTATTATTTATAGTGCTACTCATATTGCTGATTAAAGTAGTAACACATTTGATAAAATGATAACTAAAACAGAATTTCAATGGTTCAGATCATAAGTCAATTGAAGCTAGACCACCGTGGAAAACCTGGAAGTACTGGACAACCGTTTCGTTCTAGTATGGGACTCTTCAGCAGTGCGCATACATGACCTTGCCTCGCGAGATTCGAACCCGGGACCTACTAGTCTTGTGCGCGAGTGCAAGGTGGGATCGTGGATGTGCATTGCTGAGGAATCCCACAATAGGACCAAACAGTCGTTCAGTTCTTCCAGGTTTTCCATGATGGTCTAGCTTTAATTGACTCATGATCTCAATTATCGAAATTACTATATTATTCACAAAAACCCTATTGATATAACAGAATTCACGAGAAAGGAAGTTTTACATTCTTTAATAATTCTTTATTATTTATTTTTGTCTTCGATTTTCAGATGGTTGTTCCAAACGTGAATGTCGTTTTGGTGCAATCTGTGAAGAATGGTTATCAAAAGATTCTGATCAACTCATTGGTGTTTGTGTATGTCCAACATTAATGGATATGGCAAAAAATCATATGTGTAATATGAATAGTGGTACAATATGTACAGTTAATGGTTTATTTTATTTAAATGAATGTGTTATGCTACATCAAGCTTGTTTAAAACAAACTGAAATGAAACCAATGAATTTAAATGTTTTCAGTAGAATATTATCTCAAAATGATTGTACTCAATTAATTGAAAGTAAGTGGAAAAAATGTTTTCATACTTGATATTTATCTACTTAATTAACAAACTGACTTATAATAATTAAAATACTATTGTAGTTTATTAAGTCTATAGTGAGAACACAAAATAGTAAACAGGTAGTTGGTTGTCCGAAACACTATGAAGTTGGACTTGTCAGGATTTAAGTGCTAGTCACTAGCTGGTTGTTACATCATATTTAAATTAGATCTAAAGGAGAACTTTATCGTCAAACGCTGATTCTGTGGTTTAAATGTTCAAAGGTTCACCGTTAAAGTCTTAGAATTTATTCTTAAGGGAGTCTAGGGTACGTAATAAGACAAAATATCATGTTCCCTGTGATTTTCAGTGGTACCCCATATGAGACCATCTGTAATGAGTGCAACCTATAAACTAGGTCACTCCCAGCAAAACCTTTGGTAAACTAAAAATATAATTTATACTTGTAAGACTCATGAAAGGGTATTACATGTCTACCTCTGTTTAAGTTACATAAGTATTATTACATATTACAATTTTGGGCGATATAAGAACAACCAAGTTCTTCAAACGCTAATTAGCTGTAATTAACCTACAATTACAAGTAATTACGACCAAAAACAATTTTATTATATTTCAACTCATCCATCTTGATGAATGCTGAAAGTTCGACAGACAATCAATAGCAAAGAGCAACGACACAACATGTGGTATTCACCATACTGACAAAGATCGATATTTTTCCCATTTTTTTCTACTCATCCATTGATATTCATTTCTTGAGTGACCCATTGCGTTGTTCGTGAAATTTTTTTGGAATTCATTAATTAATAAAACATTTTGGTAGCTGAGATCATGAGTCAATTGAAGCTAGACAACCATGGAAAACCTGGAAGTACAGTTTGACGGCTGTTACGTTCTATTGTGGAACTACTCAGTAGTGTGCACCCACGATTCCGCCTACTGAGATTCGAACCCAGAACGAAGCGGTCTCGCATGCGAACGTTTAAACTGTAGACCAAAACGTCGGCATCCAACAGTGTTAATGTCTAACTTTGACTAATCCACGAAACTAAGTAACACGTCCACCATTATCTTCATTGAATTACTATCTCACAACAGTAGAGTTCAACCGGGTCAATTGTGAGATAGTAATACATTGAAGACAATAGTGGACGTGTTACTTAGTTTCATGGATTAGTTGAAGTTAGACATTAACACCTTTGGATGCCGACTCTTTGGTTTAAAGTTTAAACGTTCGTACGCGAGACCGCTTCGTTCTGGGTTCGAATCTCAGTAGGCGGAATCGTGGGTGTGCACTACCGAGTAGTTCCACAATAGAATGTAACAGCCGCCAAAGAGTACTACCAGGTTTTCCATGGTGGTAATCTAGCTTCAATTAACTCATGATCACAACTATCAAAATTACTATAATATCCCTAAAAATCCCTTTATGATATTCATTAATTAAACATTGAATATTCTAATTTCATTTATATTGACTATTCTTTTTATTGTTTTAAATTATGGTAAATTAATACGAATATTGGACACTGTCATACATTCTTTTTCTAACTGTATGAAATAATCATTAGTTTACTTAATACCAATATATATATTCAATTTGTTTATGGGCTATAATAAAACACTTTAGAATATCACATCATTAACAGGTAACAAGAATACAATTTTATTTACTCATAATTGTACTCATTTCCTTTCTTTTTTCTATTCTAACAAATAAGTAATTGATCATTATAAAAAAAATGACAATTATTTGGGTTCTCTTTTTTTTGTTTTATTAAAAATGGATACTCAATAATAATAATATGTCAATAAATATTAGAGAGTATTCCATTTTTGAAATGTGTCCAAACATATTGAAGTTCTTCATAGGTGGAAAACTTTAACAATAGGGGAATAAGTTTGTTATATCACTCTTAAATTGATCGAAATGATTTACATAGAAAAGTATTACTTGGTCATATTACATAATAATTCTATAATTGAAGCCATTAATATGGTATAAGTACTAGTATTATTAAAGTAATATGTTTTATATGACTGATGATAGTTGATGTGAAATACTCTAGTTGATATTCGTTAGTAAGATAATTCCTCAGTCTTGGAAGAATTGATAGTTACAGTGTTATTTGATCTAATGTTAAGAAATGTCGAATTTTGAAACTTATTGCTAAGTTAACCATTTGATGATTTACATCCTTGAGGAATGAAGTAGTTACATTTAATAATAATCCTCACGTAGATCCTCGTAATTGCCTATAGTAATAAAATGCATTGCATGTGATATCTAATTAATAAATGTTTTGTTCTCGTTGTAGTTTTTAGTCGACACAGTTTGGTTAGATGTACTAAGCACTAAAAAGGTTGTTACTTACTGAACAATTCAGTGTTGCATTATGAATAGCTATGAGATAGCCTTTAGTTAATGACTTGTGATGATAACGATAAGAAAATGAGGATCGAGGAGATCAGAAATTTTATTTGACAGTACGATGGTGAAATTTCAATGATTGTAATAGAAATTGGCAGTAAACGATCCTTGTCCTCTATTGTTATACTTATATTACAGAAGTCATAGGAATGATCCTAATTCAATCTTTGTAGTTCTATGCAGTAGTCGTCTTAGAGGAACATAAAAGTTTGTTGGAGTATTGGCCATTCGATTCTCATGTATGAGTTCAAATTTTTTTCAAAATTCGTATCCTGGTTTTATTAATTATAATTTAATATCTAGTAATGTATGTTTGAAAACTTTCCCCCGTTTTACTTGTTATTCCTTTGCGTTTGTCTAGTTTAAGGTTTTCTTTTCCCACAAAATACGTCTTAACGAGTTAACATATAATTAAACTATTTAAAATTTATTGTGGTAATTTATCTATCAGATGATTCAGAAAAACTACTTCTCATTACATCATCTACATATCATCAAGTTAGATGAGGTTTATTTTCTAACACAAAATGTTTTGTTTGGAACTAGTCAGACAAGTATACCGGGATTACAGTGTTGATACTTACGACTAGATTCAAACGCAACAGTTTTCCGCAGTACTTTTTGTGCCTAGTAGAAAATAATATGCATCCTGAATTTCATTATTAACCACTTACTCGATTTATTAAATCTTGAGATGAAATCAACATTTTGCACCGAAATATACCTTGCATTTCTTCTTAATTCCTGTGTTTGAAAAATGCTTAACCTAATATAATTACTACTCAATATCTGATGTGTAGTTACTCCCATTCTTAACTGAAACTGTTGAGGATGCTACATCATATCAATGACCATTTGATTAAAAAGCTTTTAATTTATGTAAATTTAATTTCCTGATTAATCAAGTGTATGCATTTTACAGATTATAAGATGAATAGTGAATGACACCCAACCATTCTATCAAGTGTAATTACAGTAATAATGGATGATTAATCTTTTTATTGTGTTCAGTATAATAATAATAATGAGGATAATAGTCATTTTTAAGAGTAACGTATGAAATATTTAGCAGCTAAATGTTTTATTTAAAACCCTCCATGACTTTGATACGTGACATTTACTTTTATTCTTCTTAGCATTTGCTAAATGTCTAACTGTTTAGATTATAGAATACTGATACGTTGTTAAACACATTAGCCTCCCATTCAAGCTATACGCATGTTATATAGCATAATTCATCAAAATAAACCATTTATTTATGTAATCTAACATTGTCATGAAAAGTATACATCTGTAAGTTGCCCATTCACTGGAACATAATCAATTATGAAGATACAGTCTCACTTTATCAATCCAGATATACACAAATTCATTGTATAAATAATGAAGATCTTAATAAACTCCACTACTTCATTAAAGGACACTTGATCACTTGATCATTTCTTTAGAGCTCATAGTATTTATCTTCCTTCACATAAATATTTCCATTAATTTACGACACTTTGGTATACAACTGAGTAATTTTCAAATTAACTTGAAAATGTAAATTAACTATTAGAAAAAAAATGGAATACCTCGCAACACTGTAGAGCAATGACTTGAATTTATGTTATTCTGTAGCACTGAGCAACAATGCCAGGATGTTTGGAATGCGCTTCTCTCCCTCTAAATGCAACTTGTTGCTTCAGGACTGGTCTGCGTCAACACCCGAACTAAGGATAGAGAGTGAAGTAGTCGAACGCGTTGACAACTTCACTTATCTTGGAAGTCTGATCAGCCCTAATGGGTTGGTATCGGACGAAATCCCAGCACGGATTCGAAAAGCTCGTTTGGCTTTTGCCAACTTATGTCACCTGTGGCGAAGGCGAGATATCCGTCTATTAATAAAAAAACGAGTATACTGCGCAGCAGTCCGTTCTGTTTTAATTTACGGCAGCGAAACATGGCCATTAAGAGTAGAAGACACTCGTAAGCTACTAGTATTTGACCACAGATGCCTTAGAAATATTGCTGGCATCTGCTGGGATCACTGGGTAAGTAATAGTGAGGTTAGACGTAGGGTATTAGGGAATGATGGTAAATCAGTTGATGAGGTTATGAACCTTCATCGACTGAGATGGTTGGGCCACGTGTTACGTATGCCTGAACACCGATTACCACGACGTGCAATGCTATCCGGTATTGGAAATGGTTCGAAGAAAGTTAGGGGTGGCCAAACCAAAACGTGGCATCAGTGCTTGAAGTCACTAACTTCTAGTCTGAGCCATGTTGATAGATGCAGACTACTTGGTTGGGGTCCGCGTGACTATCGTAACCGATGGTTGGAGACTCTTGGTGACATGGCTCAGAATCGATCACAATGGCGTCGGTGTATACACTCCCTGTCTTCCCTTAAACTTAGAGATTAAAATCGCTTCATGTCTTTCTTTCTACGAACCAATTCTTTCTTCTTGTACTATATCTCTATATGCAATCTTTCTCTTATATATTACCACCTTTTACCTAACCACTGTTATGAATCTGGTGTTCATCTTGTTGTGCTGATGCGGTATGGCAACCTGGACCGATGCACATATGTGCCTGGTCCTACGTTGTAGCTGACTGACTGACTGATTCAGTATTTAAGATCATGTTAGCGAATGTTACTTTTATGACGGGTTGACTGCAAATTTGACGATAGCAGCGTATTATTGATCGTAAAACACGTAAAACACGTACGGACGGTCTAGAGTCTCGATTGGTCCCGCTTCCCTGTCTAGCCCAACCAGTTGAGTCCAGAACACAAGTCTCAGCCTCGGAGATATGAATCCTTATATTTCAAACATACTCTGTTTATATACTAATCAAACAGACCACATCGTACCATAAAATAGAAAACAACATTTGCACAATATTTAACAAGTGAAAAAAAAATATCGACCAATAGGGAATGTTCATTTAATGTCCAAGGACACCACTAGACTTAACACGATAATTATTGGTATATTCCTCTGCATCTCTAACAGTTACTGATGCTAAAGTAAGTTAAAAAATAAAATGATAATTCAGTAATCTTTCAAAAATATTTCAATAAACATTTCAGTAATTCTTGCGTTTAAATAAATTGAAACATTTAAATTCTGTTTTAATGAACTTTTCCAAGAGTTAGTGTAGAAAGTTATTTACTTCTTAAACAAGTAAACAGTTCTATATTCTGGGAAAGCATGGTGAAAAATAATCATGTGATTTTTAGTGATTAGATTCTAGAGGAAAATTCAATAGTTCTAGTAAGAAGCCATGATGAGTGGAATTCAACCGTGTTGGGAAGGTTACCCACTGAAGACAATCGAAGATGGTGACGCAATATTCTGAATTGATTGAAGTAAGATATGTACATTAATGAATAATAGCTTAATGGTCTAGAGGTTAAGGGTTCTCTTGAGAGACCGATGGGTCCTAGGTTCGAATCCCGTTGGCAGAGTTCTGGATGCTCACTACTGAGGAGTTCCATACTAGAACGAAACGGTCGTCTAGTACCTCCAAGTTTTTCATGGTAGTCTAGCATTAATCGACTCATGAATTCAACTATTAGGAATAATTTATAAGCATTTCACAGGGAGTTGTTGTTCAAAGCTTGATCAGATCCATGATACTATGGGTTTTCTAAATAAGAATAACATCACCAACTAAATAGTCTGAAAGAAGAAAATAAATACTTTGTAATAAGTGCATATAGTAATATAAGAAACAAGACTTACATAGATAATTAATTTCAGTAGTTGATCATGAGTCAATTAGAGCTAGAACACCATGTAAGACATGGAAGCACTGGACGGCCGTTTCGTCCTATTGTGGAACTTTTCAGTAGTGAGCATTCACGACTACGCCTCGAGGATTCAAACCGAGGGCCTATCAATCACATGCTCGGGCAATTAACCACTAGAACACTGAGTTAGCCGACATCCAACAGTGTTAATGTCTAACTTCAACTAACCCACGAAATTGTGCGACACATCCATCATTGTCTGCAGTGAGTTACTATCTCACAACAGACTCGGTTGAACTCCACTGGTCAATGCTTTTCACCAAAACTCCAGGATATACATCATGAAGTCAATCAATAGTGAGCTATGTTGAACACATACACAGAAATACACATATAAGTATCAATGTGTAACGTTGTACGATTTATACATCATTGAACAAATCAAATATATAAAATTAATACGCTGTTGATTTTTTTTCTCATCCCCTCTTTTCATTTATTATTCATTTAGAAATGTCTATATCTGCTATTCCCTCTTCGTCTTTACTTATCACTAATGATCAATCTTTAACAACAAACAAGATTATTTCATCATTGAAATCAAATGAACATTCTATTCAACAAAATATTCAACAGATTAAAAATGATGAAAATCTTCAACATGATTCACCACATTTATCTCAATTCATTAATCATTCACCACTCATAGAATTTAATTCAATTAATAATAATCAATATAAATGTTCATTAACAATATGCTCAAATGAATTAAATCCTATTTGTGATACAGAAGGTACCATTTATATCAATGATTGTTTATTAAAAAAATATTTTTGTCAAAAAATCAATAATGGTGAATTCCCAAAAATCATTTCATGTAATTCTACAATACAAAGTAAGTAATAATTTTTTTTTTAAAAAAATCTTTATTATTTATATTTAATTATGGTAATAACATTATAGTGTACAAGAAAACAAACAATGACAACCGGAAGTACTTTTAAACATTACAAAACATCTTTGTCAAATCAGAGAATCATAACGTAAATAAATTAATATATTTTTAATATCCCAATGAGTAGAAAAATTAGATTTTCTGGCGTTTCGTGACTTAGTTTAAGATACTTCTTCAGAGAATAAATAACCAAATTATTATTAATAATAATATTATTTTTATTGTTCCGTTTGTACGTTTTAAACTTGGATTAATTTTTGGTGGAGGCCCGTTATTTTGTTGTCGTTTAGATTGAACGATGTTGTCGAAAGGGCTCTCTAATTTAGTGGCCTGTGGATCTGACTCCAATAAGATCGTAATGGATGTTTGTTATTGAAATATATATGTCGCCTATTCTCGTATATCATCATCGATTTAAATCACGTTAGTCAGTAACGGAATTAAATAAGTCAAATAACGAGAATGGACTTTTGAATACATATATTTTGTATATAAAGTGAATGGAATAGAACAAAGCAAAAGGATGCGCAGTGGAGATGGCGGATAAGCCAACTCCCATTTAACTAAGCCTTAATCAACATTCATAGTTACACAAAAGTAAGTTATAGACATGTGATGAGTAATGGGATAAGAAATGTACACACACTTACGTGCTCATATAAAAACAGTCAAGATTTAAAAGCGAATAATTATCAAGGTCAAAATGTGATTCAAGTAGAATAAATAGAATGGTTGTGTGAAAGCTAGAATAAGGTATATGAGTTTAATATAGTAAGCGACACTACAAACTTTAGTTTGGTTAGTTATTCTCTGAAGAAGTGGCCGACGCTAAGTCACAAAACGTCCGAAAATCTAATTTTTCTACTCATTGGGATATTACAAATATATATTATTTATTTATAATAATCTATTCAATGCTCAATTTATTCGAAATTATCAAATCAAACCTTGGTAATGATACCTACATATCATAAATAGTTAATTTGCAAAATATCAATCAATTGTCTTCAACTTGAATGTTCCTTTTTATAAATATCAGTCCATCATTTAAAAACTTTATTGTTTCTGTATTTTTTTATACATATTACCTTCCGTCTCTGTTTTATAACCTCTCTATCTTCTACTGAAATACATTTCATTTTTGACCATCGTTATATACTACTTATGTGCATATAAGTAGCTCATACCAAAATATGATTATTATGTATTAAAATATCTAATTTATTTCATTTTATTAAATATATTTTGATTTTAAAAATACTCTATATCATGAATTAAAAGGTATTTAATTAATATTTTATTATATTTTAAATTTCTTCCATAATATGAACCCATCAAGAATTAAACTTAGAACTGTCAGGGTTCAAAATGTTCGAGTTAACTTTGAACCGCTGAATTAATAGTGAATAATTTATATTTTGAATATTATTCAGTTCATGATAGTGTGTCAAACATATCTCACTTTACAGATTGTCAGCGTAACACAATTACTATCATTCTATTTATTTTTCATTGTTTCTTGATCTTCGCCCATACTGATCAATAATGAATTGAGATTTTCATAAGACGCTAAATCTTGAGTTTAAGTTAAGTAACTGTTAGGAACCACTAGTGAAGTGAATCTGTAATTTAAAATAAATTGACAGTCTCCCATTTAATTTAACCATATCTCGCCCTACACTACACTCATTGACATTCTTATTCCATTATTATGTACGTGAACCAATTATCTTAATCAGTATTTGACGATTCAGTATCTTTAAATTTGTTAATTTAAAAAATGAAAGTCTGTAACTCATCAAACAGATGAAACTTTTAAGCCATGCCTTACTCTTTCGTCGTCAATTACAAATAGAATATACTGATATGTTCCTATAAGTCATTTTTTGCTCTATTAAACACTCAAAACACGTCTCGGTGATAAATAATTAATATTTGCGGCCTATGCTCCTCCACGAGGAGTAACAGGCGTAAGTAAGTAATCAATTAAAACTAAAGATAAAAGTAGTCTAGAGGTTAAGCGCACGAAAACGAAAATCCTGTATTCAAGTCTCTCAAGTCGGATCCTGGATGATCACTCCTGAGGAGTCTCATACAAGAACGAAACAGCCTTTTATTTCTTCCAGCTTTTAAATATTGATCTTAAGTTAATTCGCGATTTCAATGAAATTCAATAATTCCTGCCATACCATAATAAAAATGAAAGTGTTTGCATGTTCATACATACATTTAACTGTCTATAAATTACAAATTATTTAACATTTAATATTTCCTTAGAGGATTTACTTACCACATGTACTGTAATCTGTTCACTTTGTGTTCTGTTACAATGACGTAATCGTTTATATTTCTTTTGAAATAAATTTTTTTTAATATGTTATCCCTGGGACTGAGATAAAAGCTGTAATGCATGTTACACACTCACAAACTGGCAAACATCCACCTCAATAAATAAATAGATAAATATAGACATTAATCTTTCTCAATCATTGATATACGTAATTTGCTACTACAGATGTTTATCGGCTTTCTTTTCATGAAATTTTCATCTGGCCTTATTCTGTCACCATTAATGACAGAACTGAGATTGACCAGTCTTGTATTTTCTGGTGTATAAAAATGAAATGATTAAATTAAATTCAGAGAAAGTTCAGTAAAGTTATAACACCAATACAAAGCAAATGAATACATTAAATTAAATGGTTACAATACATAACTTGAAAAGAATGATATCGGTACGATGTTAACTTGTGGTGCGTGCTACTTATATTGATATACGTAGTATATGACGCGAGTCAGGAATGTAATGTCTGACAGCAAAATATGGGGGAAGATCAATAAAAGAAGAGCGGAAACACAATGCACTTTGTGAGAAAACGCATGAACAATGAAATGTGAGACAATGGATTGATGTTTGATATGATGGATTAATATTTTGCAAATTAACGATTTGCTATATGGTTTTTTTTAATTTTACTGATTAACTCTGAAATTTTTATGCTAAGTACATTTGATTGTCCCCATTGGTGTTCTTGTGTACTTATAATTTCAATACAGGGAAGTGTTTATCCCAGTTTTATTCATTAGATGAAGTCTACATGTTAATTAGATGAAGGCTCGAACAGATCAGTAGGAATGTTTCACCATATGAAATTATGTGAAACAGGTTCAAATCATGTATGAAGCATCAGTTTCCCAGAGATTACTGATACACCTAACTGATAAGTGTCAGATAGTACGAAACCTAGATGTATTGTCACCTGTCAACTATCTCAAACCATCTAACAACTCAATATACTGAACAATATGTTGTGTTACTTAGACCACCGTCCACATTACAACTTGATCGATAGAATTGGACTAGTACCAAGGGCTAGACAAATAGTGATCAGCCAATTGTATTTACTGAATGGTTGATAGAATTCAGGGTAATGAGCTTCGATAATTATACCATACTAAGTAGACAATCACTTATGATATAGAAAAGCAGATATTTATTCTATTCAGTCAAGCGGTATCTTATGTTCTCATTTAATAAACGTCTACTATAGTTTACGGCATATATCCATTCAAGTTTATGGAATAACTTATAGTCACATTATTTAAATTGTGTTACTTAAACCGCATGATTGTGAAATTCTTTATAGTAGTATCAATTTTAGGGAAATCGATCTGTTGTATTAATTTGATAATTCAGTAAAACCTCTTTTTAATTAGCTACAGATGTGTATTTTAATATTTTTACTACGGTTAATGTGTTCCTAAAATGAGCATTTACATGAGACATAGATTTACTGTTTAGAAATGTTTTTGATTGAGATTACGAATCGATCGATGTTAGACAACCAGTGAAAACGTGGAAGCACCGGACGGTCGGTAGTTGGATTTTTTAGTTGATTAAAATAATATCCAGTTGTTATTTTTTAAATGTTATTACTTTGAATAAATTTCTTCGATACATCGTCCATTATACTACAAGTTGAAAACAAAGACTGTTTATTACAAATTAAAAATTTCATCATCATAAGGAAATACAGTAGGATTTAATAGTTAAATTCATGAGTTGATGAAAGCTAGACCACCATAGAAAACCTGAGAGCAACAAACAGTCATCTCGTCGTAGTATACAACTCCTCAGCAGTGCTAATCCACAATCCCGCTCACGGAATTCTAACTCAAAACTTTCGGTCTTGCGCGCGAACGCCTAACCTGTAGACCACTAAGCCAGCATCCAATGGTATTAATGTCTAACTTTAATCAATCCACGAAATTGCAGCATCGTTCACCAGTAGAATTTCATTAGATCATTTCTAATAGTTTTCTCATGCAGTCTAGAATAACTTTACAAAGGAAATAATTAACCAAGAACGCAAAATACCGTAGTACAGACATGCATATTTATTCTATTGTTCAATATTCAATAGTATGATAAATTGACAAATGTAAAACAAATATTCCACCGATAATTAATCATGATCTTGATAATCATAATCACCAAGAAAAACAGTGAAATTTTGAAAAAGAAATTTGAATAGAAACATTCCATTATGATAAATTCATGCTAAATACTTTACTTTTATTACAATTAAATACTTCAATTCTGTCATTATTACTAAGTTCTTCATATGAACAGTGTTATTTAGTAGACTGATATTATTTCCAGTTTAATGAATTCATGTATCTGTCAATTGAAATAAATGAAACAGTTGTTTGATTGTGTAAAATAAGGTCCCCATAATAATAATTATAATCATGTAAACACTAGAGACTAGCTTCAAGATGTAACTCCCGGATCACTAGTGAAAAACCGTGATCTATCGATTTCTAACCATGTCTAGTGTGAGAAAGTTATACACCACATGCGATCGATAAGAGCTGAACAATATCCTGAATCAATTAAAGTTATACATGTACACTTTCATAATCTATCCATGTCAATT